TTTTGCCTTCTTTCACATCAAACTTCCAAAGAAACTAAAACTCATGAATAGAGGCAGCTCCCCATCATCATTAAAAAACAGACTGGCACAAAATTGGACAGTCTCTTCCCCTCTATCCTAAACATCTTGTCAGCAGTGGTCAACCTGCCTTGCTTTTGCCCCTTCTCTGGAGAACATTTGGCAATATCTGGAGACAGTTCTGGTGGTCACACCTGAAGAAGGAGGTGCACTTAGCATCCGGCAGGTAGAGGCCAGAGATGCTGCTAAATATCCTTCAAAGCACAGAACAGCTTCCAGAGCAAACATTGTCTTGCCCAAAGTGTCTGTAGTGCTGTGATTGAGAATTCCAGTCTAAGTGAAAACAGTGCTTGTTAGGTAAAGGTGGGCTGGAAGCAAGGCATGTGACCCACCCCTTCCAACCTCATTCCTGACTTAAACCCTGCTATATAAAATTGCTAGAAGTGCCACAGAGCACAGAATCCCTAAACTCAGTTTTGTAATTATTCTCTAAAACAAGAGACCTTGCTTTAATTTTTATAGCTCTTCAGCAAGTCCTAACCTTAACATAGAGGATACTATGAACTCCTGGGGCTGCAGTTGGGTCTTATACATTTCTATATTGTTATATTCCTAAAACCTTCCACCAGGATATATTAATAGTAGGAGCTCCATAAATCATAGTGATTGAGTCATTAAGGATCTGAAGACTTTCATTAAGAAACAAACCCTTATGTGTACTACCCACACATGGTATCTGATAATTCTAGTTAAGTCAATCCTTTGTTAACTAGTATTTCAGTGTCTGCTATGTGGCTCCTTTAACATTTATTGTTTCCTCAAAGGCTTTTGTAAATAATGTAGAAGGGTTTAACAAATATGTATGAAGACTATACTAAAGCACTGGAATAACTAACAAAGTCAAATGTAGGCCTAACTGTACTTAGGGTCTAATAGAGGATATAGGCAGTTATCTGGGCACCTATATAACATATTGTGACAGGTGCTATGATAGGGGAGATACAGGCCCAGTGAGCTAGTGGGATCATATAAAAGGTCATCTAATGCAATTCAGCCTTGAGGGTATCAGGAAGGGAGGTCTAAACTTGGGCTTGACAATTGAGTCAACCAATCAAAAACATGGGAAGGGGGAGAGACTAGTATTCTAGGCAAAGAAAGTAGTGTATACCAATATTCAGGGGCCAAAGAGAATATAGCACCATTAGAGATGGCATTCTTTAAGGCTGCAGCAAAGAGGTAGGGAATATATTCTAATAATCTCCTATATACGAGGTCTGGCAAGTTTGTGAACTCATCTTAGAAAAAGTGCTGCATACCTCGTTGCTGATTATTACCACAGTCACCTTCAAAGTATTCCCTTTGGGAAGCTATGCACTGACCCCAGGGCCTAGTCCATCCTTCAAAGCAAATTTGGAATCCTTTTTCTGAAATGACCATCAGAGCTATCATCACACCAGGTCTGACAGTTAAAAGTTGACAAACTTGGCTTGGCACCTGTGGCTCAAGTGGCTAAGGCGCCAGCCACATATACCTAAGGGTTCGAATCCAGCCCGGCCCGACAAACAACAATGATTGCTGCAACCAGAAAATAGCCAGGTCTTGTGGCAGATGCCTGTGGTCCCAGCTACTTGGGAGGCTGAGGCAGGAGACTCACTTGAGCCCAGGAGTTGGAGGTTGCTGTGAGCTGTGATGCCACAGTACTCTACCCAGGGGGATAGCTTTAGGCTCTGTCTCAAAAAAAAAAAAAAAAAAAGTTGACAAACTTGCCACTGTGCACTTACACTGGCAGCACTGTACAAACAACTCAGTAAAGTTTCATAACCTTGGTATACCACCATCTCACAACTGTGTTTGTGTCAGTGTGTGCTGGTGACTTGTTGAGTGACGTTCATTATAGTTACATGTTTTTGTGTGCCGTACAATGATAGCTCTGATGGTCATTCCAGAAACAGTTCCAAAATTGCTTTGAAAGGTGGACTAGGCACTGGTCCCTTAGGTACATAGTGTCCCAAGGAGAGTACTTTGTATGTAGAGCACTTTACAGCTCTCAAAGCATTCTCAAATGGATCCTGGTTTTTAAGGAAAATGAGAAAGCATGGAGAATGTTATTTCTAACTTGGGTTATTTATATATTGTTTGTGAAAATGTGTGAAAAACTCTAAAGAAAATAAGACATTTTTCCCCCTTGCTTTAAACAGAAAAGTAAACAAGGTTCTTCTATCAACCTCTCTACCTCCAGCCCTCCTGGCTTCAAAAACTTCTTTGCTAACTGCCAAAATCTGAAACCTAAGAGGTGTTTTGAGAATCTAAAACCTTGTGGTGTTCTTTTAGGTGAGGGGCCCTCCCCTGGGATTATCGATCTGTTTGGAAGTGGTGGTGGCTTTGTGAATATCGGGCCAGTCTCCTGGCTGGACACGGTTTTGCTGTGCTTGCTCTGGCTTATTTCAGATTTGAAGACCTCCCTGAATATTTGAGTGACACACACCTGGAGTACTTTGAAGAAGCTGTGGACTTTATGCTGCAGCATCCAAAGGTGGGTTCCAGTGATACTTGCATGCAGAGGAGAGGGGATAGAGAGGACACTGCTAAATCCCAAAGCCCTATCAGGACACTGGGCACTAGAAATATGCCAGGGGACACCAAGGCTGCTTCAAAAGTGAATCTAATTACTATTTCCATTTTCACCCCTTTCTTATCCTCTAAGACTTAACTGTTTAGTTCCCTTTGTGATCATTTACCATCATTCAAAGAGCACCAGACCAAAAAGTTATTAACATTGAGTTCTGGTTCTTTATCTACCACAAAGTAGCCTTATGATCCTGAATAAGGCAGTTGCCCCTTCTGGGGTTTAATTTTTCTCTTTTAGAAGATTAATATAAATGTATAGTGACTGTAAAGACATGTTTTAGAGATAACTGGTGAAATTTGCATAGGAATGATGTTTTTTGATGATACTAAGTAATCATTATTAGTTTTATTAGGTGTGATAATAGTATTATGGTTTTATAAAGGAAGTCCTTATCTGATAACAGGAAAAAATTAATTATAACATTTTAGTATGATTGCAAATGGAATGATACCAACTCTATGCTGCTATCCAAATGTAAACATTCTAATATTTTTTATGCATTTTTTGAGACAGCATCTCCTTGTCACCCTGAGTAGAGTACCATGGCATCATAGCTCACAGCAATCTCAAACCCTTGGGCTTGAACAATTCTCTTGCCTCAGTCTCCCACATAGTTGGGAGTATAGGCACTACCATAACGCCCAGCTAGTTTTTTCTGTTTTCATTAAGAGACAGAGTCTCTCTGTTGCTCAGGCTGGTCTCCTGAGCTCAGCAATCCACCTACCTCGGCCTCCCAGAGTGCAAGCATTACAGGAGTGAGCCACCACACCTAGCTAACATTCTAATGTTTGGAAGTAAAATGTTCTGCCAGCTCTTCTCCCTCACCTCCCATACCCTTGGATAACCCCAGAATTCTCTGCCAAATAGCTCTGATCCTTCTTCAAGGCCCCAACCCCCTTCTGTGGGTATATCACTATGTATACACCTAGGCCTTAAATATGCAGCCTAGAGTGACCACACACATGTGTGAGAGGCACTCAAGGTCCATGCAGGAGTTTAAGATGGAAGAGAAAGAGGGTGGACCAGGGACCAGGACCTGGCTAGGGGCCAGCTCTCCCCTTTTTCATGTTCTTATACATAATAGAACTCAAATTTGAGCCTGACCATATATTATTATGGTGGTATATTTATCAAGAGTGGAAAAAGAATATGTTTTATTTAACATTTCATTTGATATATAACTTTTAAATATTTAGGTTAGGATAATAGGCCTCTGTGTATACTCTTTTCTTTTTTTTTTTTTTTTTTGCAGTTTTTGGCCAGGACTGGGTTTGAACCTGCCACCTCCGGTATGTGGGGTCAGTGCCCTACTCCTTTGAGCCACAGTGCTGCCCTCTGTGTGTACTCTTGATTAGGGGAGAGATTCATAAATATTAGGAGATAAACTGTGTACTAGGAAATCAATTAATTTTCTTATAAGAAGATAATTTTAAGCCAGGCACAAGGGCTCATGTGTGTATCCTAGCATTCTGGGAGGCTGAGGTGGGAGGATCAGTTGAACTCAAGAGTTTGAGACCAGCCGGAACAACAATGAGACCCATCTCTACTAAAAGTAGAAAAAATTAGCCGGTCATTGTGTTGGGCACCCGTAGTCCCAGCTACTCAGGAGGCTGAGGCAGGAGGATCACTTGTGCCCAGGAGTTTGAGTTTGCTGTGAGCTAGGCCAATGCCACAACATTCTAGCCCAGGTAATAGAATAAGATTCTGTCTCAAAAAAAAGAAAGTAAGAAAGAAGGAAAAAAAGCTATGTTTTTACCTTTGTAGATACATGAGGAGGGAAAGCAAATGATATTTAAGAGAGCTACTTAGAGAATGTAAAATCATTGTTTATGTCCTCCATTTATGAATTCTAGCTCGTTTTCTTTCTTCATCAGGTGAAGGGCCCTAGTGTTGGGCTTCTTGGTTTCTCCAAAGGAGGTGACCTGTGTCTCTCAATGGCTTCCTTCTTGAAGGGCATCACAGCCACTGTACTTATCAATGCCTGTGTGGCTAACACAGTAGCTCCTCTGTATTACAAGGATATGATGATTCCTAATCTTGGCAATGACCTAGGAAAACTAAAAATCACTGAGTCAGGATATTTCACATTTTTGAATGTTTAGAACAATCCACTGGAGGAACCTGATCAACTAAGTCTTATTCCATTGGAAAAGGCCCAGGGTCCCTTCCTATTTATCGTTGGCACAGATGATCATAACTGGAAGAGTGAACTCTATGCTCATATAGCCTCTGAAAGATTACAAGCCCATGGGAAAGACAGACCCCAGATAATCTGCTACCCAGAAACGGGTCATTGTATCGACCCACCTTATTTTCCTCCTTCTTTAGCCTCTGTGCACTCAGTGCTCAACAAACCAGTATACTGTGGAGGTGAGCCAAGAGCTCACTCAAGGGCACAGGTGGATGCCTGGCAACAAATTCAAGCTTTCTTCCATAAACATCTCAATGGTAAAAAATCTGTCAAGCACAGCAAAATATAACATTGTAGCTACAGACCACAGATCCCATTAATAAAAATCCTATTCATACAACCTGTGTTGGATTTTCCAGAGCGCCAAGAACCAACCAACTCATCTTCCTTGTCATGTTCTACTGGACTCCCACCTTTTGCAAGGTTCATCCTTCTTTCCCTAGAACTTATCTTGATCATCTTTAGGACCAATCTTAACCTTAAGCAAGAAAAATGGAAGAAGTGCTTGCCCACCTATCAAGTGCTGGCCTAGTAGCTTCAGCCATGTGTCCAATTTCTTTCTTTCTTTTCTTTTTTTTTTTGCTTTCAGTTTCTGCTGGCTTTCACTTTATCTTAGTTTGAAGGGTTTTTTTTTTTTTTTTTTTTTTTTACTTCTTCCTCCTGTAGTGTTCTCTTGCCCCCCATGTAGTTGGGATCACAAGATCCGGCTGGTTTTTTTTTTCGTTGTTGTTATTGTAGAGATGAGGTCTCACTCTGGCTCGCTCTGCTTTATGCTGGTCTTCCGCTGGTCTCAAACTCAGCTGAGCTCAGGCGATCTACCCGCCATGGCCTCCCACAGTGCTGGGACAACAGGCATGAGCCACCACGCATGTGTCCCATTTCTGAGAATTGAGTTTCTGTATTACTCTGGAGCCCCATATCCCTTTGGGCCCTGACTGGCCAGGTCTGAGCCCTGGGCACTGACCCATTCCAGTCCCTTAAGTAACGGATTCTGTCATACTCTTTTTCTTTTCTTTTTTTGGGTGCAGTTTGGCTGGGGCCAGTTTCGAACCCACCACTCTTGATATATGGGACTGATGCTCTACTCACTGAGCCACAGGCAACACCCAACTCTGCCTTATTCTTGCCAGTACACATTTCCTGAACATTTACTCAGGACTTAACCCTGAACCCTAGTCTAGATCGGGAGCATTGTACCTGTCACTATGCTTCCTTTATGTTTACCAACTGTCTGGATTCCTGGTCACTGTATGGTACTTACCTGCCTAGAGGAACGCCTTGATGCCAAGATTTTTAGGACTATTATACCTGTGGGCTGTGGCCTTCATCGTTGGCTGTCATGTTATGATTGCTAAATCAGACTTCCTTCTGCACCATCTGGTCCTACTACCTTCTTATGGGGTAGCAACAGAACCCATCTGCCTCAACCCACTGCAATGTACTGGGCACTATCTAGAGTCAGAAGAGACCAGAGTAGAGGTCTCTGAGCACAAGAAAATTTTTCTAAGACTTTAGGGCACATTGTCACAATTTTCTAGACACATACAAAACCTTTCACCAATTTGAGTCTATGCAAACAAATGCCCTTTAGATCTTAACTAATGAAAAGAAAGATTCCTTAGAGGTAACTTAATTGTTGGGTATGGTGGTGTGTGCCTATAGTCCAAGCTGCTCAGGAGGCTAAGGCAGGAGGATTGTTTGAGCCCAGAAGTATCAGGTTGAGTAGAGTTGTTATTGTGCCACTGTACTCTAGCCTAGGTGACAGAGTGAGACCCTATCTAAGAACAAAACTAGTAAGACAAAACTAAAAAGAAAAAATCCACTGTATTGAGTCTAGTCATTTACCGTGTAGTCTAATTTTATATGATCTGAATTGTAGGAGTCTCTGTTTTAAAATCCCTACCAAGTGGCCTTGTTGCTTTAGAAATGCTCTTGGGATGGGAAATCACAGGAAGAAGTTATAAGGAAAGTGACTGGGAGGGTAAGAGAAGGGAGGGCCAAAAAGTAGACTAAGAAGCTGTACATGAGGATGATGACCAAACATCTCCACCTAGTGAAACACTAGGGAAGAGCAGCTCTAGCCCTCAATATCTCACTGATAAAGCAGCCTAGACATGCCCTACACTGACTAAAGATATTTGGTCACTTCCCCCTAAGAGTTGGCCATATGTGGCCACTTTCTCTAAGACTTTTGTTTCAAAAAGAATTTCAGGGGTACAAGTGAATCTTTCTAAGAGTAGAATGTGAACATTTTAAAACAATAACAGAAAATGACATAAAGGCTGTGTTGACAAGTTTGAAGGAAGTATTTCAGATTGCATGTGAAAACCCCACACTGTACCCCAGAAGTGCATTAATGTACGTAGTTACCATTCAATAAAAAAAAAAAAGAATTTCAGATTGTTAAAAAAGCTCTGTAAAGTATGATAAAACAATATTCTTTAGAAGGGAGAAAGAGAAAAGATATTCATAAAATAAAGCCAGAAACGAGGCTCATGGAATAGTCCTTATTATGAAGTCTTATACACTTGCCTCAATTGGGCTTCTCATTTAGTCATGGATTTTTTAGTGGTTTATGTAAAGTTATGCAGAATTTACACCAATCATAAAATAAAAAGGAAAACTTAGAAATCAGTTTCTCCCAAGCCGGTTGTGGTATTATGTGCCTGTATTCTCAGCTATTCAGGAGGCTGAGGCAGGAGAATAGCTTGAGCTCAGGACTTCAAGGCTACAGTGAGCTATAATGATGCCACTGTACGTCAGCCTGGGTGACAGAGGAAGAACTTATAGCTCAAGAACAAAATTAAAAAGGGCCAGGCACGGTGGCTCACGCTTATAATCTTAGCACTCTGGAAGGCCAAGGCAGGAGGTGGGAGCTCAGACGTTCAACCAGCCTGAGCATGAGCAAGACCAAGACCCCATCTCTACTAAAAATAAAAAAATTATCTGGGCATTGTGGCAAGTGTAGCCCAGCTATTTGGGAGGTTGAGGGAGAAG